GTGTATACTGTAATAGCCAACCCTGCAAGTTAGCTCCATTTTCTTCATTTCCTCCTTGACGAGGTTGTAGATCAAAATTGTATTCTCAACCAAATCGGCACAAAGTACCAACACCTCCAAATACTTGACCCACCCAACTGGAATTATAGCCAACCTTAAAGGTATAAATTGGTTCCAAGATTTAAATCGGCTCCTGTGTTCCTTCAATGAAAAAAACCCCGCCATTCTCCATGCAAACGTGCGAGGATCCATCTCCCAAACCTCCCAATAAAGCTCCCCACACTCACGCAATAAAGATAAATACTTTCCAGTCGACAAGTAAGTATTCTTAACTTCCCCACTCAGGCCAATAGAGTAACCGGGCCCAGGGCTCTCCGTGAATTCCTCTGTCTCCAAATTAATAGTCAATAATCTGTCGTCATGCAAGACCCAATGCATAAACCCATCAGTAATCAAAACGGGTTTATCCTTAAAAACCCTAGGCTCGGCCTGCACGACTCTCCACGACTCATCATCATCTTCTCCTTCTCCAATCGTTAACATGTGAAACTCGTCCACCATTACACCTGTATATGGATCGGAAGGAATGTAGACCACCACTTTCAAATCCATGGAGTCCCGAGCACATGATACTCCCCATGAATACATAGGTGTCGCTGAACGAGTGACGAGTGAAGGGAGATTAAGAATTACCCCTGACGAGTGATGTGAGAGGATGAGCTCAGTACATTTCCCTCCTTCTGCAAACGCTAAACAGAGTTCCGAACAATCGGTCACAGCCACGCTCGTGTTTTGTTGCCTCAACTTAGTTATCTCGACCTGGCCGTCTCGGGTGCCCATCGAGAACACAGACCGGTATTCTTTTAAGAGAAGGGCGTAAGTGTTGTGGCTATGGGTCACATGGCACCACCAGCGGCAAACAAGCCTTGCCTTGTATATATCGTGGGCCGGGAGACGGTCAAAAATGTCGGACAACAAGTCATTTGATAGAGCCCCATTGATATTTGTTTCACCACTCATCTGCACATTTAGGTTAAGGAGAACTTCAGCAACATAAGATAAGAGTTTGGTTAAAAAAAAATCTGTATCTGTCCACAATGAAATTCTAACTCCTATACTCAATTGGTCACTTTCAGAGGTTGAATTTAACTCACGATACAAAACTAGATGACAATATGGAATATTAATCTTTGAGCAACTTCAGTAACATAAATGAGAGATTTTGGTAAAACTCTTTTTCTGTATCTGTCCACAAGAAATTCCAATCCCTCTTCTCAATTGTTCACTTTCAGAGGTTGAATTTAACTCTCGACACAGAACCAAATGACAATATGGAATCCTAATCTGTGACCTAATTACTGCATATATGCTAAAAAGAGTAAACATTAACCAACCAGCAAAATCAACATGGGGCAATTCAAAATAAAGTTGCTCTTAACAGAGATTAGCTGGTAATGTATGAGAGAAATACATCTAATAACCAGTTTGATTACTATTTTAATTCGCATCGATGTACAAAAGCTGATAGATATTTTAGACCGAACCTGTTTCTGCTTCTTCGCAGGTGGAGACCGCTGGTGGCCAACCTGTTCTTCGCTGAAATCTGATTGGAGGATTCCCTGCTTCTGCTTCTTCTCCGGTGAAGGCCGCTGGTGGCGTCGGCGGTCGCGGTCGCTGTGGCGGTCGCGGTCGCGGTCGCCATCGCGGTAGCGGTAGCGGTAGCGGTAGCGGTAGCGGTAGCGGTAGCGGTAGCGGTAGCGGTAGCGGTAGCGGTGGCGGTCGCGGTC